TTCGGGCCTCTGTCCGTAACGCGCCATGTTTCCTCCTGGCGACTGCGGCTACAGCAACACCATAAACACCGGCGAGATCTCCGCGACGTCGTGAAGACGTCTCGAAATTCCGTTGCGCGCGATTACGAATGTCTCCAACACGTATCACTCGACCGCGTGTACCGGATAGAAGAGGCGGCCACCGAGGAAAGATGGCTTCTCGTAACGCGCAAGTCAAGAAGCGATCTGACATCCGGGGAAAAGTCGCGCGCGAATAGCGGCATTAGCGGCCGCTTCTACCGCGGAATAATCGCGCGAATCACGTCCGCCTGTCGTATTTAAATTCACGCTTTATCCTCGGCATGCCAGGGGTTCAATAGCGTCTACGATTCTCGCGATGACTCCGACGAGAGACGTTTATAAATAGACTATTGACTCACGTAGTAATCGAACGACCGGAACGACCCCTCGCGATTGCAGAAAGCCGGTGGCTGATTGACTTCGAGATCTCGATAGTCGCGCTTCCGTCGATAGATTTCGAATTGGCGCCATTGACGGTCGCAGTCTCGCAGATCGTGTCGTTCCGAATCGCGCGAGTATATTTACGTATATATTTCTCAGAAAACGTATCTTATTTTCGCGATCGTGATCACGTGAGAATGAATATCGCGCGGAGTGTAGAATATTTGTCATAATACGTTCACACGTCGTGTTCGATCGTATAATATCGTATGATATTCATCGCCGGTGGAAGATCTTGAGAGATGAGGTTCGTTTTAGCTGAACTTCTTGTACTTCGTCTTTCTTTTTTTTCTCTCCAAGTTAGAGAGAAAAAGAGAAAAGGTGAATCGTGTAAGAACTTTAACTTGAGAGAGAGAGAGAGAGAGAGAGAGAGAGAGAGAGAGAGAGAGAGAGAAACCACCTTCCTCTCTTCGCTGACCGATCGACACTACTTATATTAATTGGAATTCCGTGTGTGATTATAGATTTGGTGCAATCATCCTCGATGGAGAACAACGGAGTCAATTGCATTATGGTTAATTCTTGATTCTTTTTCGGTTGCATCGCAATATCGTTTCAATAGATCACGAATAGTGAATCGGTTGGTACGCATAATGACGAACCGGCGCGATCGCGTTTGAATAATTCTTAGAAAAGAATAAATAAATTAAGCTAAGATTAAAGTTAATCTACATTGGTAAAAAATAGGTATTAGCCGTTTGATCGTAACGTGCTAAATTTAATGTTCTAAATGCGTCTGATTTAATTTTTTTTCCTGAAACTGTCAAATTAAATAATATTTCTACCAATATATTATAGATGAGCTCTTTAATCTCCCCTGATTTAGCTTATTTTTTATTTTCTAGTTCTAATTAGACACAGATAAAGAGTAAATTAAAGAGAGAGATTAAAAACGAATCTACATTAGTAGAAATCATATTATTCTAAAATGTAATTATAAAATGATAAGTAGCGCATTTTTGAGAAGATGGAATATTTAGTCATTATTAATACATATTAGAGAAAGTAATACTTTTTATGTGATTATAGATTATACAGAAAACAGGTTTTTTGTACAAATAAGAGTGTTGTGTATTTTACTGTATAATTTTACTTATATAAATATTTCTTATAAACATATTTAACAATATAGAAAGTTCAAGGCTATCGAGCAAAAATAAGAAGCAAGGAACATAAAATGTTGATAAAATATAACAAACAATGAATGCTTATATCTTAACATGAGACAAGAAAAAAAATAGATATATTTTATCTTTTATTCTCATTTTACTCTCCACCGCGTTCAACATGTTTAAAAACTTTGATTTATAAAATTATAACACAAAAAGGTTTTCGGCAATGGCCAAATTAATAAGAAAACTTTCTACAGCCGGCGCCAAGTTTTTCTCTTTAAATATCTCGACGGATATCATTCTTTTGCCATCTGGAGTTTGCACTGTCGCTAATGAAGTTAATTGATTTAGAAGATCTTGCGTTTTGTCACTTATCTCGGATATAACTTGTGCTTCTGTGTAGTTTTGATTTTCACATAGTTGAACCATGAACAAGGCTATTTCCTTGTGGGTTTTCGTCATTGTAAGACTTTCTGGAAAAAAAATGAATAAAGATTATAGGTTAGAAAACATATACTTTTTTTATATCCTTGAGACATTTCTATTGTAATTTTATGATGCATCATAAAATTACAATGGAAATGTCTCATGGCTATAAAAATGAGAGAACGAAATAAACTATTTTCTTTTCCTTCTTACCTTTGGCGTGCGGTGCTACAGTAATTTCTCTAGCAGGAATATTTACAAGTAGATCGTACAGGTCTATTCTTGATGATATTGAACTATTACTGCAGCCTGCCACATAGTGTGAATATTTCTATAACAATAATTATATAGCAATGAAATTAAGAATAACATAACAGTAATAATAACAATATCAATAATAACAATGTTTTGCACCTGCAGTTCATTCTGAGTAAAGAAATTACATCTTATTTATCACATTTCATGCTATTAAAAATAATATATTTTTTAACAGAATACATGCCTTCAGTTCGACTAACTCATCGTTTACCAAATCAATCCAGGGAAAAAGATTGTCAGTAACTTTCCTGTGTTTCATTAACACAGGAAATGTTCTTATCCACTTAAGAAGTTGCTCCAGGCTGTGATGATATACAACAATCTTCTTTTTTAATAAGAGAGCGGTATATATCAAAATCGTTTCTAATTCAAATGTTTTAATCAGCTCTTTGACATTGGTGCTAGCTGCAAAACGATGAGTATTAAAATCATCAGAGACAAACGTTCCGTTCTCTTGCGTCGAACATGATCCCTTTGTGAATACAGATAAGTATAACTGTAAAATCTCTGTAGGCTTTCCAGTTTTGCAATACATCTTGCTAAGAACCCTTGAGAGCACTTCATACTTTTGTGGATTAAAGTCCTTTGCAAAAAGAACTAATGCAAATTGTTTTACCTGAGACAATTATGAGAGTTAACATTTAGTATTTGTATAGAATCTATAAGAAAATATCTGATTTCTCTCTCTCTCTCTCTCTCTCTCTCTCTCTCTCTCTCTCTCTCTCTCTCTTTAATAAGAAAAGTTTAAGATATTTACCTTCGGTAGTTTGTCAGAGTCAAATACCTCGCTGCAATATATGTAGAACCAATCATGTCCATGTCTTGCACATACAAATACATGAGGAGATGTATGCTCCAACTTCAAATTGCATTTTCTTGTGACTACAGTCTTCTGAGATTCTGTAACAGCTGGATACGACCACGTCCACAAGACATCTCCATTACAGTCTTTCTCTGCAATTTTTATTCTTGATTATGTACAATATCTAGTATTATATATATATATATTATATTTTAACTTTCTATAAAATTGCTATACCTATTACACTGCAAGAAAGTAAATCCGTTAATGGTGCCATTTGGAGGCTTTCGAGCCTTTTAAAAATAAGTAACTAATAAAAAAAACTAAAGCGGATAAATAATTATCAATAATAATGATACATTAAGGTATTCGTTATTCTCCACTTTTGTTATACGCAAAAATTTACTCTTTGGTATTCTACATTTCTATTACTAAATGCTACTAAATACTACTAATCCATCAGAGCAAATTATTAGAGTGTAATATATCGAATGCTGTCAAACCACGATAGAAATTGAGGTTATGTCTAAATTGCTTCTCTCTCTCACTCGCTCTGATTTATTTTCTCACTCACTCACTCACTTATTCTCATTCATTCTCTCTCTCTCTCTCTCTCTCTCTCTCTCCCACTCATGTATTTGATAGTCTTGTCAATCTTGATTTGTAAAAAATAAATATTAATAAATAATATTCTATCGAGGATGTCTATTAAATTTTAACATTTAATATACTGTATAATTGCGATATATTATCCGGTAAAAAATTGTTCATACAATGAATATTCCAAATGACAAATATAGATAAATAATATAAACACAATTGTTATAATTAAATCTTTTATTTTTTTTCTTTCTGTTTTTTTCATGCTTATATTATTTTACTTAAAAATAAAAAAAAATTTACTTATATTCATCTTTAATAATAATTGTACAATAATATTATGAATATGATAATCAATGATCTATTTTTTAAAGTCTTATACATGTGTTATAACTAATTTATATAAATATCAATCTATATAAATATCAATCAATCTATATCAGTATCTATATCATTAATAGATATCGCATTTGTATGTATCAGTAAATAGCTAAAATAGATTTTCATACTATAAAGTAATCTTAAAAATTTGCTAATCTATGAAATAGGAGAAGGAACAGTAATAAAGAAACATTAATCGTTACGTTTGACAAACAGGTGTAGATAATCGTTTAGTTTATACCCAGCGCGATTATATCCAGCAAACGCTAAATATTCTTGAAATATTTATAAAATGTTCCTAAAATCTCAAAAAAAAAACCTTTCGAGGATACTCCAAAATATTCCGAATATTTATGGTACGTAAAAGAAACATGCAAATGTCAGTTAAAAATTTCATTTGTAAATCGTTATATGTATACTCCGAGAATATTCCATATATATTATTATATATATAATTTTAATTTTTCCAAAAATTTCAGGTCAGGTCATCCGTGAATTAGTTTTTAAACGGCAGAAATGTGTATTTCTCGTTTGTTCGCGATTTTCGTGAAATATACAAGGAGTATTCACACAATATTCTGAACATTTCATCGACATTTGCACATTCTGTGATGATTTTTTTACTGTTTTAGAACATTCGGTACATTGGTGATATGAATCGAACTTTCTATGAATATTTAGCGTTAGCTGGGTATTGGCTGTATCATGATATTAATAGAATATAATAATGCGATGTGAAAATAGTTTTGAATTTAATGAAATATTAACAGTTACAAAAACATCTCTTTGAAAAATTCTAGTTAATGTTTACCCTATTTTATAAATAACATTCTCCTTCTACACTATTTACTAAAATTGTTTTAGTTAAACATTTTCAATTCACAAATTGCCACTTGACTGTCAGGAGCTTTACTAAAAGGTTTATTTCCATCAGTTGTTTCGTATTTGTTCACCTGATACACCTGCAGTGGTTCATAACCGAGTATTGTACTAAGTTGCTAAAGTTTAAGTAAAAAAAATACAAGTTATGAATTTTGCAAAATTATGTATTTTTATAATAGGTATTATTTGTATTATTAGATAAATTAATTATCTAAGAATTAGATTCATTGATTACCTGTGTGAGAGGACTAGTGTTTATAGTGAAAATTCCAGCGTACTCTTTTTGTTTGGCGAATTGCAAACAGTATTCTTCCATATACTTTATTGCAAATACGTTCTCCGCAGGATTCAAATCGCTGTTTGTCCCCATAAAGTTAGCGTAAAGAATATGGCCTTTATCCTTTGGTAATTTGTACTTTATGATCGGCTCCCCTAAATATTTGAGAAAATCGATAACGGTGATTAATGCTTTAGACTTCACTACCTGCTCTACAGGCTGATTCCAAAGATCAAAGTTGAAAGCAGCTCCGATCATTTTATCATTCTGGGTCGACTTCATCACAAAACTAACATTCTGCGCTACATAAAAATTCCATTCGATCTCCATTAATTCTTGTATATCGGTTTTTATTAGGTCCGGAAGCCACTGTATCAAATCTCCTTTTGAATGAAAACTTTCTGCGATTATTCTGCAAATTTAAATTTAAATAAATTTCTGATTACCCTGATCTATTCAAGTACAATACATATATAACGGCAACTATTACGAATATAAAATTTAATTTTGCACAATATTTACTCGATCGCATCCTCCTTATGGCAGTCGCTTAATGATTCAAAAACGTATGGCTTAATGTGTCTTCTATGGCTCCTTACTCGAGACTGACTCGAAAAATGCCTCCCTTCTACTCACAAGCTCAAAACTCAGAACATCAAAACAATATCCTTCGCGGTTGTCGGATCGGCCACGAGGCCGCGACGTGTTATCGCAGACAATCTTCACGTCGCCGATTCTCGGAACTCGCGCCCCTGATGTCGCCGCGGACATCAATCGCGACACCGACACCGTCGCTCTTTCCACCTTTCCCACATACATATATAACGGCAACTATTACGAATATAAAATTTAATTTGCACAATATTTACTCGATCGCATCCTCCTTATGGCAGTCGCTTAATGATTCAAAAACGTATGGCTT